TTCGTACGTATACGTAAGTACCTACCACTATCACTATAAAATAAGTACTAATTTTTTTAAATCCCAGAACAAAAAAAAAAACGGGTACAAAATATAAAATACAAATACAAAATACGTATCTATACATATATTTCATATGTAATAGTTTAAATGTTAACTTTGTACAATTTATTTTTGTCCTCAAAAAAAGGTATTAGGAACCAACATAGCACATATTTAAAGTGTGAATATTTTTAGCTAACAATGGCCAGCTAATTCCCATCCTCCCAGTTAATTTTTGTTCATATTGTAAAAGTTCATACATAAATCTAAGATTAGGTTGAATTATTACATTGAGACGTCTAGCACGAACAAACAGGTAAGAAGAAATAAGAGAATAACCCAGATGTCGCATGATATATGCAATTGTGATGGTAGCGGAACGAGAAACTCCTACACGACAATGAATGAGAATTTTACCATTTAAAATACGAGCTCTTTCTATAAATGGAATTATTTGGAAATTATTTTAAAATTAGTTATTAAATAAATACAATCAAATACAAGAGTTTTAAATTGGTCAACAATGTATCTTGTACGTTTCAATACATACCAATAAAATTAACGCAAGAATCTAAATGATTCCAAAGACTATCTATTCCATCATCAAATAAATTATTCAAGTATTGTACTTCAAAATCCTTATTATCTAGTCTGGAATCTTCTCCAACGGATAAAACATGAGTTATTCCAAGAGATTTTAACATACTTGCATTACAAGCATGATTTAAATTGCCCAAATATAAAAATGGTAAAATTCTGCTCGGAAAACTTCCTTCAAAAAATACATTAGAATAGAACCATGGAAATTCCTCTTGTCTTGATGTTTCATCTTCACTAATTCCTTTTCTCTCAAATATACACTTCTCAATTCTTGTTAATGTATCCACATCATGTGGATATACAAAAAAACTACGAATCTTTTGAAGTTTTAAATACGCTTGTGGAAGACTCAAATTTTCGTGTAACATGAGATACGTGAGAGCAAAAAGTGAGGTTTCTGTGTAACCATCCGTGCAATAAATCAAAATTTTGTGACCAAAATTATTTGTTTGATCCGAAATGAATTCACAGAGGTCTAATAATCTTGTGATTGCAAAATCAAAGACATCTGGAGTATTAAATCCAAGACCAGTAGATATGCAATCAAGATGAACAATATCATCAATAGGTATCCTTGATTGAGGTATTTGTGCCAATTGCTCAGTAATGAAGCAAAGAGTGTCTTTATCTGGTATTTCGGCAACATCATGTGATTCTATGCAGACATAGAATTGATGCGGGTTATCATCAATCAATGAAATGGCAGAATCAGCTGGATTTAACGGGTCCAATCCATTAGAGATGGGAACATCTTGTGTATTACCCAACTACATAAAGTTAATCAATAAAAAATTACACGAATTACATTATGGACTATATGAATTATATGAACTTTTTTATTTTTAATCTAACAAAAATAATGTTATATTGATAATTTACCCAAACATTCGTTGAAATTTCTGAAGCCGAAGTGAGTATTCGCATTTCCTCTCTTTCTTGTTCCGAAAAATCGATTTTATTATGTATAATACCTTGACTATCGACGGCGACAAGTTCCGGATATTCTTCTTCAAATAAGGAAAATGGCTCTAGAAAATGATCATTACCAATTATTAATGATGTCATATCATTTCTTAATCCATTTAAAAATTATGATGAATAAAATGATACAGATCGTTACACTGGTAAAATATTAATTCTTTTCTCTAAGTATTCTTTCAAAAACCTTTGGTGTGATATAAAAATTTTCTAAATACTTTCTAAATGTTTTCTAACGATTTTAAATTACATGTGAAAAAAGAGCAAAAAAGATTTAGATAACGTAGAAAATATTTGGAAAAAGATTTGGAAAACCCGCATAGCACACCAAAGGTTTATTAAAGAATACTTGCAGAAAATATTCATCGTTCTACCTGTGTTGATGAAAAATTAAATTAACCATACCAACTATCACGAATACTTCATACTCCAATATATTTGGGTTTTCTTCTCTAAAATTCTGTTGTGCCCATGCCATTTGTTTAGCGATATTTAATACATTTTCGTTCAAACCATTCTCTCCATATACAATAATGTCTGAAATCGTAGCATATTTCGCTACTTGAATCTTAAAATTCCTTAAATTAATTCCTTCAGTATCCATTATTTTTAAAAAGCTTCTTGCAGAATAATTGTTGTCAGGATCTTCAGGATCTCCGTAATCTAATATATCAGTTGGCATAACAGAGCCTACAAGTTGAGATCTTAACAGTTCTTCGGCTTGCACTACAGTGAGACCACGATGTCTTGGTACTGGGCACTCTTCTTGAATTCTAAGGCCGAAGAAGCTATTCTGCATAGGATTTGTACCATCAATGCCATGCAACCACGGAAACAAATCATTAGGTAATGGGGTAGTATAATACGTTTCATGAATGAGATAATATTGCGAAGCAGTTAACGCTCTGATAGGTGGGTTTTCATTAACGAGTGGAAACGCATCAAACTCTATTGGAGAAGGCGATCGAATGGTGGCTGGCGAAGAAGGAGGTGGTGACAACGGTGACAAAGGTGGAGTAAGACGAGAGGGCTGTTGCTGTTCAACAGCGGCAGCCATGATATAAATTTATCGAAATAAAAAAGTAGAATGTTTTGTTATATCAAAATGATCTTAAAAATAAATAATTATAATGTTCGGTATAGTTTTTATTTGTCGTTTTTTTTCAACGTTTCTTTTTTACTAATAATTACAAGGCAATTTTAAGTCGGATTGAATGATAAAATTAAGTGTTTGTATTAGGTGCAATACCGATACTATTTTCGGCCGTGACCAAATTTCATGAAAATTTACTTTTTCGTTCGCAAACTTTGCACACAATCATAACAATCTGATCATCTGTTTGACCAACACCCACTCGTGTTTCCCATTTCGGGTATAGCTTGTTTTAAAATTATTTTCACGTATATATTTCTATTTATTATGTGAGTTTCACAAATATTCCTTACAATTGAAATTTACAATTGTAAAACAAGAATTCCATTTAGAGTTAGAGTAACGGTTAAAGGCCGAACATTCTACGGACACATACAAAATCACATGATAATGTACATGAAACCGCATCATATGGTCGATGCGATACTTGTCGATCATGGCCTTCAAAAGTAGATCATTGTAGATCATTTGGCCTGGCAAATGATCTGCAAATTTGACGGACAAGGATCGTCAAAAATCGCAAAATCGGCCCTTATAGATACTGGGTCATTCGTTCAACATATCCGACAAAATTCTTTAAGTTCGTTTATATTAGGTTAAGGCCTCTTTTAGT